GATGAATTTATGCTGAAGCAGGGCTTGTTGTGGAACAACAGACGATCGACGCACATTCTGCACAGTTGTTTGCAAGTCTAAGAAAATTTTTCTGATTCTGCAGATCGCAGTTGGTGAACTAAATCGTGAAAAGCACCAAGCATTCCGGAAATCATGCGAAAGATTGAGCATGAGATAGATGAACAAGTGGTTCGAAGTTGCCAAAATTCTTAATTCCGATTTACATGCTGGCGGATTAAAGATCCAAAAAGCTGATTCGGTGATATTTTTTGCTGCGGAGTTTGCCTGAGATGCTAGATTTTGGCATTGCTGCAGAACTCTGCAAAGACAAAAAAGAAGCTGCACTTGTCTGTGTCTGCATGGAGGGTGGTTCTGGGTGCTTGACAAGCTTAAAGCCAGAACAAGAAAGACGTAAAGTGCTGTGTCACGGGGAACATCATATCTTGAAAATTGGTCAAATAAAAGCGAGCAAGTCATCTTGAGACTGGCATAAAGAACTGTCTGACTGGCAATTTATTTCACGTCTAAACCCACAAGAACAAACTGATGTGCCGAAAGAGGCAGTTTATTTCTGGAAACTTTTCAAAGCCAAGAGAACTGTGTGGAAAAAGAGTGGAGACAACGCAAACGGGAGCAGTTGACAACGTTCTGGGCATATTGTGATAAAATTCAGCAATTGGTTTACAGCTTCTTGCGGCGACAAATAAAGGCACGTGGTTGTTATTTCATGGATATGTCAGCGGTCTTTGTCCCTAAAGATCAATCCAAAACTTCAACTGTCAACAAAGCCTTGTTTAAAATCAACGTGCACAAGTTTTCTGAAGCCAATGGAGGCTCGTGGCAGGAGCTTTTCCCCAACAGGAACTGCGCCTACCGCACGTACATTGCATGCGTGTTTTGGCCGACAGACGCATGTATGTTTTCTTGCAGCTGGACACCTGAACGATTTGCATTCTTTCCAAGACAGTCCAGAGGCAAACTGGTAGAAGCTAGCCACAGGCACCCTGCCAAGCGCGCGGGCAACCTACGCAGTGTGGAACGAAGGAGAGCAAGATGTGCATCTTAACGGGGTAATCGCCGGAGTATAACAACGACCTACACTGTTGCCCAAAAGTAATGCATGGCAAGAGCTTTTGCCTGGCGGCACCTTACCATTGCGCGCGGTGCCATGTGGCTGTTTGGAACTTGAATGTGGAGAAGATGCTTGTGTTTGTAGGATCTGAACGATTTGCACAGCTTTGACAACTAGAGCATGGTCGCAACTTTCTCCAAGTGGCACTGTGCCTCTGGTTTTCACATTATTTTTCTTTCACCCAACACGTTTTTGGACGAGCTGCAGCCGCTTTCGTGCGGATCTTACAATGTTACAAGCCACTTCCGCCAACCCGTATGTGGTGGAAATGTTGGCATGGAGACCCATCTTACAAACCTGGAATGATGTGAAATCACAACATGATGCTCATGAATTTCTCTGCCCCAGTCTTCGATGGAGTTTTGGGAGGCTCGTCGACACCAAATCCAATACACTCTTTACGATACTATGGATTTAGGCACGATGCAGGCGTCCTGTGGACCTGAAGTCGAGCTTTTCGCGTCAATGCAACACAAGGTCCAACTTGTGTAGCTGCCTTAAGAAGGCTCACTGTTAAAGAACCTTTGCACGTACTGTTTGGATAGAGGTGTTTTTCGAGCTCCAGCTTTGCTGAACTTACACTTGTCCTTAAATGTGTTTCTTTCTTTGCTTTTTCTTCTCGTTACTCTTTTTTCTTGTTGGAATTCTGAAAGCTTGAAGCTTTCCATTGCCACGCAGTGGCTTCAGCACTGCCAAAAGCATGTTTAGCACTGCATCTGCACAAAGCAGAAACAAAGCTCTGTGTCTGACCTTGTTGGAAATGGTCCGGTTCAGGTACTAAGCTTCTAATCCAAGTTCAAAAACCCTGAGAGGTGTTATCAGGGTTGGAAGCTGAAACTGGTGAGTACCATGAACCTTCAAGTGACGTCCATGCCATCCGTGCGAGTGGCCAAAGCATCCATGCCCGCGTGATGATAACGTCCATGTTACCACTCCGTGCGAGTGGCCAGAGCGACGAACGTCCATGTTGTCACAACTCACGTGCCAATGGTCCATTCCGCACAACAATAACGTCCATGCACTCCGTGCGAGCAGCCAGCCATGCCCGCGCGATGATAACGTCCATGTTTCCACTTTGTGCAAGTGGCCAGATCATCCATGATAAACATCCATGTTACCACTCCGTGCAAGTGGCCAGAGCATCCATGCCCGCCGCGCGATGATAACGTCCATGTTGCCACTCCGTGCGAGTGGCCAGAGCATTTCATGTTCGTGCGATGATAACGTCCATATTATCACTCCGTGCGAATGGCCAGAGCATCCATGCCCGCACCATGATAACGTCCATGTGACCACTCCGTGCAAGTGGCCAGCATGGCTGCGCGATGATAACGTCCATGTTACCACTTTGTGCAAGTGGCCAGATATGCCCGCACGATGATAACATCCATGTTCCACTCTGTGCGAGTGGCCAGAGCATCCAAACCCGCACGATGATAACGTTCATGTTACCACTCCAGTGGCCAGAGCATCCATGCCTGTGCAATGATAACGTCCCTGTTATTACTCCGTGCAAATGGCCAGAGCATCCATGCCCGCACGATGATAACGTCCATGTTACCATTCCGTGCGAGTGGCCAGAGCATCCATGCCCGCACGATGATAACGACCATGTTGCCACTCCGTGCGAGTGGCCAAAAGCATCCATACCCGCGCGCTGATAACGTCCATGTTACCACTCCGTGCGCGTGGCCAGAGCATCCAATAATAACGTCCATGTTACTTGTGCGACATGCCCGCACGATGACATCGTCCATGTTACCATTCCGTGCGAGTGGCTAGAGCATCCATGCCCGCACGATGATAACGTCCATGTTCCCACTCCGTGCGAGTGGCCAGAGCATCCATGCCCGCGCGATGATAACGTACATGTTTCCACTCCGTGCAAGTGGCCAGAGCAGCCATGCCCGCACAATGATCACGTCCATGTTACCACTCCGCGCGAGTGGCCAGAGCGTCCATGCCGGCGCGATGAAAACGTCCATGTTACCATCGTGCCCAAACAGAGGGGAGATAGTTCTGCAGCCAAAGGCCAAACAGAGCGAGATAGTTCTGCAAGCGAAAGCCCAAAACCTTCAACCTTCAACCTTAAACTGCCTTAAACCCAAACCCTCGGAGCCAAAAAAAGTACATTTTCGGAAGCTACCTTGATGCTTAAAAATACCGAAAAGCGCCGAAAAACGATGAATATTCTCTTCAGTACTCTCCGAGCCATGACAAAAATCTAGACATAGGAACCAATTTTCCAACATTCTGAAATGCAGAAACATCGAGTTTCTTGACAAAATTAACGAACGTTTCACGGCCCCAAACGCGCCACATGCTTAGTTGTAGTTGTAGTTGTAGTTGTAGTTGTAGTTGTAGTTGTAGTTGTAGTTGTAGTTGTAGTAGTTGTAGTTGTAGTAGTTGTAGTTGTAGTTGTAGTTGTAGTTGTAGTTGTAGTTGTAGTTGTAGTTGTTGTTGTTGTTGTTGTTGTTGTTGTTGTTGTTGTTGTTGTTGTTGTTGTTGTTGTTGTTGTTGTTGTTGTTGTTGTTGTTGTTGTTGTTGTTGTTGTTGTTGTTGTTGTTGCTGCTGTTGTTGTTGTTGTTGTTGTTGTTGCTGTTGTAAGTTGTAAGTTGTAAGTTGTAAGTTGTAGTTGTAGTTGTAGTTGTAGTTGTAGTTGTAGTTGTAGTTGTAGTTGCAGTTGCAGTTGCAGTTGCAGTTGCAGTTGCAGTAGTAGTAGTAGTAGTAGTAGTAGTAGTAGTAGTAGTAGTAGTAGTAGTAGTAGTAGTAGTAGTAGTAGTAGTAGTAGTAGTAGTAGTAGTAGTAGTAGTAGTAGTAGTAGTAGTAGTAGTAGTAGTAGTAGGAGTAGCAGTAGCAGTAGCAGCAGCAGCAGCAGCAGTAGTAGTACTAATGATAATACTAGTTCGCGCGCTACTAGTTTACATCCGGAGAAATCATGAAGCAGCTAGCCCTCGTGGAAAACGAGCTGGATTAATTCGCGAGAGTAGCGACAAAATCGAATTTGGCTGATGAGCCCTCCAGATGAGACACAGCGGTTACGGGCCTCAGGATTCAAGGACTATTCTGACGTGGGCCGCGACGTCTGCATCAGAAAAAATGGGGAAGGAGATGCACCCATCGCACAATGGTGAAAGCAGAACAATACAGACTGAGACGTGCGCTCTGCTTAGTTACTTAGTTCTCTTCTGTTTGGAGACCTCATTTGGTTTGAGCTCGAGACCCTAACAAGTACGGCTCAAGTGTGGTCTGAGGCCAATAAGCCGCGTTCCAGCATCCAGACCATGTAGACGGTGTAGTGCGGTGTTTTTTTGGTTAGTGGTGCCTTCGCTGCTAGTTTTTCTGTCTGGTGTCCTTGATCACCCAACGAGCCTTCCTGAGGCAGCTCGTTTTCCTTCCGGAAATTCTTTCACCTTGTTCTAGCCAGGAGATTGCTTTCATTTCTAGCTCCGGCTCACCGGTCTTAGCGGCCCCAGCGAAAAGGCAGCCTCCGAGGTCCGCGGCTGCACCAGGCGGTTCTAGCCCTTTGCTTTCGAAAACCATTGTCGCCATCAGCCAGTGCACACGCTGGATCTAACCTTCTGGCCAACTTCTGTAGCACCGGGGCCTTGCTGGCTGATCTGCTTCGAGGTGCGGAATGGAATGCATAGCAGGAACAAAGCGACGAAGATGGATGCTTGATCCCACGCTGCCAAAATCTGTGCGCCTGCTAAGGCATGCTGTGTAAGGTGGCTGGGCAAATTTTTTGGTTTGTATTCTGCCTAGCATGTACGCAAGGTCTTCCTGTGGAGAGTTTGGTTCCGAAGGCCCAAACCCGTTTTGAAAGTTGCAAGCCATGAGGAAGAACTTTTCCCGTGGAATCTGAAACATGGACTTCGTGAGGGTGCTCGCGGAGCAAGGCCCATCTGTACATCTGACGATGAAGTCTTGTATTTGGAAACTTGAAGTTGCAACTCAAAGTTCGGACTTCGAACAGCACGTCTGTCGCGACATGCAGCTTGAGAATTCCGGTGGCATGGCTTTCTACAATTTTGCAGCGCTGAAACACATGAGTTCATACATGTGACAACGAATTAGCTTGCAGTTGGTTTTCATCTCCGTGAGAACCTCATCCATTGAAGACGCGCGTAGTTGAACGTGCTAACGTGCAAGCACAAACAGACAGTGCCGACAGCTTCAGATCCCGCAAATGCGCCTTGCCCATCCCAAGTTGCAGCTTGCAGCTTAGTGGCTTCATCTGCTGGGAAGCTTGGGGGTTTGGGATCTGTTGTGCTTCCTACGCTCATGCATTGCCAGTTTGCTTTGGTGCAACGCATACGGAGTGCAAGGTTAGGCACGCCGCAGCCTGCCAAAGCAAATGCAGGAGACATGTTGCAGTTTTTCGAGGAGACCCAAAATCATACGAAGTCCAATCTTGTTGACGCATGGTGCTGCGTCGTTTCCGATCTTCCTGATGTGGGAGAACCGACATAAAATTTTGTTTGCTCCGGCTAAATTTTGTTTGGCCCTATGTCAGGACAGCTCGCTACATCAACGCCCGCGAAGCACAAAGCTCAACAAGTGTGGCAAAGATGCTGTGACGCAGTGATTTTGGTGCCGCACCAAGGCCGGACAGAGGACCGGAAGTCGAGCTCTGAGATTATTGGGCAACTCTGCTTGTGGGTTCTTACTTGTGGCTCGGCTTTTGTCGTTTACCACTGTTTTTGTTTGCCGTTTCGGTCGCCGAGACACCAATTGCAGCTTGATCAGTCTGAGGTGGGGCCTTTGCCCGGCAGTCGTCTTTCCGAACTGGCTCAGCGTTTTCACTTCATCGAGCGGCAGGTGGAGTTCGGGCTGGAAATTTTCGGTGATCTTGGTTGTTTTCGGCCAGAATACGGACGATAAAAGCGGGCATGAAATCCCATGGTGTGCGTACATGTTCCTGCAACTTTAGGACGGGGGTGGTTCTTGTGTGTATTGGCTGGTTGGAGCAAGTGAAATTGTCGAGTTTCGGAGAGCCCAAGTGTTTCATGTGGTCTTGATCTGTTACCTGTTACCGATGAGGTAGAGGCCGACACCAAGTCCAGAAAGCATACGGAAGATTCAACTGCCTGGAGCTCAGCAGGCAATCATGTCGCATGCTCGTGTGCGTTTGCCGGTGCTTTGCAGGTGGGTTCCGCATGGATGCACGTAGATTCCTTTCTCAGGGCTGCGAATCTCAATCAATTGGGGCTTGTCACGTGTTTTCTTTCTCGTTTCGCATGCGCCCCTTTAATTACACGACTCGGCAGCTTGGGTGCTCCAAAGGGTGCAAGACCTATGGGAGGGGCAGCCGACAGTCAAGAATAGAGGAAGACGCAAGTGTGTTATGTGAAATGCTGACTTCGAGCCTTGTCCAAGTAGCAAATTTCGACAAAATGACTGCCCAAAGCCTTCTGCGTCCGCAAACGGGAGATGTGGAAAGAGAAGCCTCGCTTCGCGCTTTTCTTTCTGCACCTTGTGTTTCCGAGGTCGAAAACCTCTGGCTTGATGCCTGGGTCTCGGATTGGATGAGAGAGTTTTCTCAGTTTACCGAACGTGCTACAGTAGGAGCGTGGAGTTGCTTCGTTCTCAATGTGGCTCTTTGCGTTGGGTGTTACGCAGCATACACATGCACACTGCGAGAAGGCAGGTGGACACTGAGAAGATTCCCGAAACCGCCACCCCCCACAGTGCAAGCCAGGCATGTCCAAGGTTGCCAGCTGCATTAAGTCCATGAAATTTCATGATTCCTTGGATGCACGCTACTGCTACAGCTTTCCATTCTGAGCCCACCAAGGCATCGTATCTGTAGAAGCGTTTAGGAACATCCAGCCCGACGCAGCCGCGTCCAGCATGGCAGCATCTCAGCTTTTTGGCTTCATCCTTGCAGGTGGTATCTTGGACTGGCGAGGTTTCGATCTCTTTTCCGTTCTTCCTACAAAAGTCGTGACATTTAAGCGCTCTGCAGCTGGTGTCGGTTTCTCTGAGTAACAAGGGCCCTTCGGACGCTTAAAAGCGTGAGGCATCGTGCTTCAGGGCTGGAGCAGCACCTGTGCAGATCTCGTCGAGGAGAATCTGGCGGACTTCTGGCTGGCGTCTGGGCCTCCGCTGTCGGATGGCAATGCTGAAGACTGCAGCCAGCAAGGAGGTGTCCTTGCTTCACTTAGGTTCTCAGGGAGTCGGGGGGACATTTGGGGACCCTGTGGAGTCTGTGGAGCTGACAGATGAGAGCGTCTGCAGCTGTGATAGCAAGAGTTCTTGTAAGTTGATGTAAAAGTTCCACTTGAGGGATGCTCGGGAGCACTGTAAGCAAAAGGGCAAACCCATTTGTTCTGGGCAGCTTCTATTGCAATGCGCAGTCTTCATTGATGCTGCGCACAGGCTTCTTACACACCGTTTCCGTGGATTGCGGAGATGATGTCTACAACTTTTTTATGGACTACATGCTGTATCAGATTGGTGAGCTGTCTGATACGGACGCTGAAACCTGCCAGCGTGGCTTGGCGATCAGGTGGAAGAATCTGCAAGATGGGTTCCGCATCTGCGTTCCACCCAGCTGCTACCCACCAGATGCAACACATGCAGCGAGCCTGCTCATCTTGTCCTTTGGTCATGGCCTCCTGCCCGGGGCATTGCTAAAAGAAGCTGCCGTGAGACTCTTGTTCATCTTGTCAGCAGACACCGGGGCCCGAGGCGACATCCAGAAGTGCTTCGCCTTCGAAGACGCGCAGGACGTACAAGCGCAGACTCTGGACCTCAACTCGGGCTTCCCGATGCCGATGCTCGCGTTCGGAACCGCTGGCATGGCAAAGACCCGGGAGACGGTGGAAGAGGCCGTGCGGGTTGGCTTTCGTGCCATCGACACGGCAACGAATCCCTCTGATGGCGATGGGTTCAACTACGACCAGGAAGCCGTTGGCCAGGCTTTGATGGGGCTGCCGGTGGACCGAAGCTCTCTCTTTATTACCTCCAAGGTTCATCCAGCAGAGCTTGGGTTCTCGAAAACCCTCATGGCCGTTGAGCGTGCCTTGAGTGTTTTGGGGGATGGGGCCAAGGGGTACATCGACCTCTTCTTGATACACTTCCCGACATGCGACCTGGACTTCTGTCCCAAGGGTGGACCTTTGAGGCCGCTGGGCACCTTTGAAGACAGCTGGCGTGCGTTGGAGGAAGCGGTCCGGCGGGGATGGGTGCGGTCCATCGGCGTCAGCAATTTCGACACACAGCAGCTGCAGCGACTGCTCTCGATGTCGACCATTGCACCAGCTGTAGTTGGAGTGTGGGCTGACGTCTTTCATCCTGTGCCAAGGTCTTTGCGAGTACTTTGCCAGCAACACAGAATTCACATTCAGGTCTATGGCACTCTGGGTTATGAATGGTCACAAGGCCGCGGCCTAACTGGTAAGCTGGCATCAAAGCACTCGAGCCCACTTCTCGTGCATCCCACCCTGCGTGAGATATCCAGCTCCAGGAGTTGGCCAGTTGCAGACGCTGCCATCAAGTTCTTCCTCCAGCAGGGGGTTGCTGTGATAGTGTCCTCCAGCCGCCGCGAACGTATGCTGGAATTGTACCGTTCACAAGATGAGCGACGACTTTCCGGCGAAGAGATGGAGCAGCTCAAAGACTTGGAGGGCTTTCTCGGGTCAAGCTTGAAGGTTGATGCTCGTCCTGACTTTTATGCGGGGATGTCGGGTTTTGACACCAGTGACCTTCATACCCTTACGACCCAATTTCTGGACATTGAGTGGGACTGTGACGCAGCGCGTTCCGATTTCTCAAAGTATGGAGTGGTGCACCTGCAAAGCGTACTGCCAGAGATTGTTCTAAAATCTGCCCAACGAGCATGTCAGAAGATCGTGCTGGACCATGGCGGTGGAAACTGGGAATCTAGAGATGAGTTTCCACCTGTCTTATGCGACTGGACCAAGTCTGAGTACAATGCGGATATCAATATCGACAACGTACACACCACAGAGTTGAGCTACCTCTTTCCGGCTGTGGTGTCTGTACAGGAGATTGCAAAGTGCATCCTTCGCACGGAGGAGCCTCTGATTTTCTACATTCTCGTACGTGGAAAGGCGCAGGGATGCAACGCATCCTCAATTCCCTGGCACCAGGACACAGCCTACAATCTGTATCGAGCGACCGAGGCACAAGACTCACAAGACTCAGACGACTGCTCTAAGTGCTCGTGGCCTTTCTCCCAGCCGCAGCCCTTCTCAGACACCCCATGCAGCGTAGACTGCTCGCTCGTGCTCTTAAACTTTGCTCGTGCTTTGCTCATGCTTTGCTGCTTGTCCTCGGTGTCCCTGGTGACAGGCAGAAGCATATGACGTGCAAGCAGAAGCTGATATCGAAGCTTTTGGCAACCACACGGCCGTCCTCCACATCCCCCTCACAACTGAGACTTCTGAGAAGGGAGCCTTGATGTATGCCTTGGGCTCGCACCAGGACGGGCTGGGTCCACACTTCTGGATGAGGAGATGGCTGCTGGGCATACCCTTGCCACCCTACGAGTTTCATGCCGAGCATAGTGCTGTGAAGACTATGGAGACTCAGCCTGGCGATGCGCTGGTGCACTCCACCCTGGTGCACCATGGGACATGCCCAAATACTGGCACGGAAGTTCGATGGCACTTGGAGATGGGTGTCCAGCATCCGGACTATCCGTACAGGGATAGCGAGCATCGCATTCCCTTCCCTCCAGAGCCACGTCTGATGTCAGACATCGTGCGTCGTGTCTCATCACATTGTTTTGAAAGCGGCTTCAACCATCTTTTCACTTTGCTGCCCCCTGAGCCAAAGCAGTAAGGACTATTCCACGGTCTCCTTGGCCAACTTCCTGAGAGAGCTGAGCTTGCATGCCGGCTTTCTTCGCTAGTGCCACTTCGCAACTTCCCCTCTTGGCTGCTTTGGGATCTCTGTGCGTGGAGGACTGCCAGGTGAGGCTTGGAGGTACTCGTTTCGGTTTCCGACGGGCCTGCAACTCCTGCAACGGGTGTTTATAGAGCCAAGTGAGGCGACAAGCAGCCGCGGTTGTGTTTGACTGCAGTCATTGTAATTACCTTGAGTATCCTACATGGCATCTCACGGCACTCTTATGGTCAGCTCTTGTTCATGGAAGACATGCCTGTCACTGGGCTCAAACTACTGCCAGAGATTTTCGAAGCCTAAGCTTCCCCAGCCAGGTCTTAGCTCATGTGCTTTGGTTTGAAGCAGCAGGCTACGGTTAAAGTACTTAAAGTACCACACACCACACATACCATGAGCTGCAGCACCAAGTATGGTTTCAACAAACTCCTTGTGGAAGATTCCTTACCCTGGCTATGCAAAGCCATGCCCAAGCGATTTCAGCGGTCGCAGTCAGCTGATACTTCTGGCGTCAAGGTGTTCGCAGAAGTTTCACAGGAGGGTGAGGACCGCATGTTCGGAGCACGTAACATATTTTCGTACACCCATATCATTCTTTGTCTCTATACCTCGTTCGCTGTCTCAAGATATGTACTTGCTTATGTGATTTTTGTTGTAAGGCACACACACACACAAGTCCATGGGCTGCGGAACTTGGTGTGTACGAATGTAGCTTGGACAGAAGTCCTGCCACAAGGAGTGCGAAGATGTGCTAACGCAAGCTGCGTTGGATGAGATCCGTCAGCTAAAGAATCCGCCGTTGGCGGTGCGACGGACTTTGGAGGCAGGAACTACGCTTGCTAGCACTGCGGATTGTAGAGTCATCCTAATGTGTACAAGTCTAAGTGGGCTATCACGGGAACATAGCTTGTAGTCGATTCGGGGAATGTCCAAAAGGGCTGGCGTTGGGGATTCGAAGTGTCCATCCTGTTCATGCGTGCTTTCCTTTTGCTTGGGATTCTTGGCTGTGGGGGTGATGGGCAGCAAAGCCTGAAGTTGCCACAAAGACCAACAAATGCTGGATTCATGGGGGGGTGGGGGGTAGCAAAAAAAAGTAGACGGAGAGATGAGACGAAGACCAGGTCATGCACATTGTGCTGAATGCTCGTCGCCACAGCCGGGGTTTGCCAACACAGGGCATCAGATGGGAGAATGTGTTGAGGACCGTGGGGTTCGCGAAGCTTGCAGGTTTTGCCAGAATCGTTTAGGGTTCCTGGCTTTCCGCTTCTGACTTTTGACGGTAGGGTAGCTCTGCAGGACCCTGGCGGCCGATGACTTGGCAGAGCAGTTGGAAACATATGACATTAGCCAGCTGCGACAGTCATGTGCTCAGTACTGCAGTGCGGCCCAACATGCTGCATCATGTCAGGTGTCTGATGTGTCTGGACGTGTAAAACAGAGTTCATGGGAAATGAGACGGTGCATGAGGGATAGCACGGACCTCGCATGCAGGTTTCCAGATCTTGCGCGAGATTTGCATGCACCTTGCTTGCATTCAGCTGGGAGTTCGAGTGGAAACAACAGTGCTGAACAGTTGCATTTTGACGTTGAGTCCCGTGCGACTGCATCACTCGACTGCATCGTCTCAGCTGCCTTCGTTGAGGATTTTTACTTCGAGGAAGGGCTTTGTTTCAACCGGCACAAGTCGCGGTGTTCGCGCAAACTTCAGACAGCCAAGAGTGCCTTGGCCAGCAATGTTGGAGCAAGGGATTGCGGTTCCCATCGCTGCCACAACTGGCTTGCTCTGACTCTCTTGCGCTTTTGACTGCTTTTGAAGGTAGCTTCTTGCGCCGGGCGGTCACTTCCGAGGATCAGCTTGCAGCGAATGCTCAGTGTATCTCCGGGAATAGGATCTGTGATTCGGTGACTGTTCACCTTGCGTCCAGAATAGGGACCCGACACGGCAAGAGCAAGAAGCGTTGATTCCTCTGTCGCGCAGGAGCTGAAGCTCAGTCCTGGTCGCGTTCGCTATGCCTCTCGAGCAGCGGCGACGCTGTTCGCTTGGGCTGCCAAAGCTGTGGCGGAGGACTTTTGTTGCGTTTTTTTCTGTTTCGTTTGATTTGTCCGTACTGAAAAATCCTTTGGTGGATCTAATGGGGATGCGGAGGCATTGCCACCGCCCACGCCCCCCACGCCGCCAATGCCCGAACCAACGGTGGTGGCCGATGAGGCAGAAGTGTAGTGTAGAGCCACAGGCACGGCTAGGGAAACAATAGGCTGGGATAGAGCTTCTTCGGCGCAGGTGGAAGTTCTGCCAGAGCTGCTGCTTCCAGGCGAACCTGATCCACCAGCGGAAGCCCTCACTGCAGGAGTGGGATTCAAAAGCCAGTGTCAAAGCCACAAAAGGCAAAAAGGCTACACGACATCTCTCGGCACCTTGTGGTGCTTGTGCCAAGGTGACAAGTCCCCAGCTACGTCTGGGGGTTTCCGAAATTGAAGGTAGGGGTACCTTTTTGGGGTCCTCTTACTATTTGGGGTCTATATGAGGGGACCCTTATTTTCCTAAACCCCCACGTCCTCTGCGTGCCAAAGAAGGAGTGTGGGCGACGTGTCCGCAAGGCCATGGCCTGTGTGTCGGCATCGCCGGTACGCCTGTCTGCGCCGTGGCCTGTCCTGACTTCAGAGAGGTGCTGGGGTGCAAAGTGCTGTCGGAGTCTTCGGAAGGGGGGGGGGTCCACTTTTTCGCTGTCTGTGGCCCCCGAAATGTTCCGAATCATGGCTCAAGGTCTGCGGGAACACGATTCTTCGTGGGGGTGATAGCGCCTCCTGCCGGCTTTGCGGCTTCTTTGTTTGTGTTGGATGCCGCAAAGGTCCCCTGACTGAAGCATGGCAGAAGTCTAGAACAGCTGGCATTCATGTACATGAGACTCGATGCCTGCAGGCAGCTGGTTGAGTATTGCTGGCGCTTCTGCATCCTCAGCGGCAGCTGTGCAAGTTGACATCGTTGCAATGCGGTTCTTGATGCCTGGCTCTGATGTTTGTCTCGCAGCTGTTGGTACTAGGTACAGGGTCGGAGAATGTCACTATGAGGGTGGCCCATCGTCCCCGATAGATGTGTCAGCAAGGACTTGCACACTCATGTCAATGTGACTTGTGAGATTGTTTGTAAGGGGCCTGTCCAATTCCCAGACCTTGCCGATGCAACCCCCTGAGCCCAGGCGAGATGGCGAGGAACTGCCGGCTGCCCTCGCTGCTCTGGCACCAGCCGCGAACGTGCCGCAGATGCCAGGAACTGCAGCTGTTTGGGGCGGCGAGCAGCAACTGGAGGAGGCGGAAGCCCCACGCAGCAGTACACGACGATTAGGTAGGTGTCGACTTGACTTGGGACAGCAAACGCGAATCAGCTCGGCCGCTGCGGGAGCTGCTTTGTCACCCTTTGTGGTTAGAATCAGGTCAGTCTTCGTGCCAAGCGCCCGGGCGCGTTTCATACAATCTCGCCAGGTTCAGCTGACCTTCCACAACGACCTCTTGAAGGAAGGGGTCAGCCAGGCAAGCTGAACAGTCGCGTGTCCTTAACACAGCTAGATCCATTGCCTTTGCTGAGGTGCCCATGAGTTGCGTGGTGCAGTCAGCGCCAAAGGCGCCGCCAGCACCGCCGGTACCGCCGAGCGCCCTGGTCCTGTTGTCCAGTGACTCGTTGCCCTTAAATTTCTTCAAGCTTGTTCCCAAATCTCAATCGCAGTCCTGCCCGGACACGCTGCCGTTGCCTTCCAAGGAAGTGGGTCGGGTGTCTTTGGATTAATGGACACGAAGGCCCTCAACGCCTCCATCCTGATACTGCTGTGTGGCTTGCCAGGGGAAGGCTGCAAAAAAGGAGAGCGCTGCAGATGGGAGTTGTTTCGTCGAGTGATGCCAATGGCAACCTACAGCAACCTCAGACTTTGAGTGAATATGTTTATATATGTCTACGCTGCCCTGCGGTCCCAGGTGCAGCGGCTGGATGATTGCATCGCTCAAGAGGCCCAGGTGCCTCTTGCATCGTCTTGCCCTGTTTTGCATCTTCTGCCCTCGCCATTGGGCGCGCGGTGTGCAGGTTCGAACCCAAAAGCTGCAGGACATGAAAAAGGTCGGGCTCTACGCCTAGTTCGACCCCGTTCATGTTGCTGAGCTGCGAACTCATGAGGTGGTGCTGCAGCCAAAGATCACGCAGGCCCAAGGCAAGCTTGAGGCGCAGATCAGCTGCATGGAGCAGAGCATGCAGAGCAGCAGATTGTCCCTTGCAAGCAGTGTCACTGATTCAGAGCATCGGAGAGGCCGCCTTCTTGAGTCAGCTGGAACATGTTCACAGCCTCGTGGATGCTCAGAGCCCAGAGTGGTCTGTCTTCAAGCGGCCGCAACATAAGTGCCCCCTTTGCTTTGCGCAGTTTGTCGTCGCAAAATGCCAGGCCGTCAATGATCGGATGGCGTCGGTGGAGAAGGTCGGGGCAAACATATCCTTGACAGGGGATACTATTCAGAAGCTGGCTGTCGGAAGAAAGCACAATTTGTTGGAGGACTTTCAGCAGTCAAGAGCGCGGTACATTGGCCAAATGGACCTGGAAGCCTCCGCGATTGCCTGTTTCCTGGAAGACGTTCCACTTTACACATGCTTTTCCAGACGAAGAGCAGATTCTTTGAGCCTAAGGAGCAGGATTTGGCAGAGTTCAGGAAGGCTTTTGAGCTGGAGCAAGTTAATCGGCAGGAGACATGGGGCCATCATGGGGCCATGTCACGACATCCTTCCAGTGTGGCCAGCTCGCTAAACCCTAAACCCTAAACCCTAAACCCTAAACCCTAAACCCCTTTGCTTCAGGAGCGGGAACATGGCCTTCAAGAACGCTTAGAGGCGGCCAAGTTGCAAACCGCCGAGAAGCTGGCAAAATCCTCAACTCGCGAAGTTGTTGCTGGTGGGGTGGAGACGATGCTTCTGGTAGTTTTGATCAGATGTTTGCCTTAACATCAGGAAACTGAAGCTGCTCAGAAGAAGCTCGCATTCAAGACATGTGCAGGCGAAATCTGAACCGATGTGCCACCTCGAACTAAGGCCAGGGACGACCAGCTTGCTGATAGGAAATATGCCGGAGCCTCGTTGTCACGCCAAGCTGGTGGCCTCCATGTCTTACTCGCAGAAGCAAGAAAGAGCAGTCATAAAGACTGGTGAACTGAAGGGCTGCTCGTTGGTGTGGTGGTATGATCCCTGGCCTCACAAGGCGCAGCTCTTGCGCGACGCCGATGAAAGCGTCCGATGCTGAGTCTTCGCAAAGTTTGGACGTCTCCTTCTCTCCAAAGCTGTCGTGATCCCTGCCGACATGGGGCTGCAGGTACGAGAACGGGACCGCGAGCAGCAAAAGTTCAAGGAGACTCGAACCTAGACCCTTTTGCCCCCCCCCCCCCCCCCCGTGTGCCCGCCCAACATGCGATGAATCCCAAACCTTAGCCCAACAGAGAGCGTGGTCCTAATTGCCTAACTACTCGTAGGAACTAGACCCCAAACCCCATGCAAAGGGGAGACCATGGAGATGTGGCTGCGGGGCAGCAGCACTTTCAACAATCGAGGTCTGCACTTTAAACGTTCAGGGTGTAGTCAGATCTTCCTTACGTACGAGTTCCAGGACAATGAAGCAAGTTGTTCATCGATGTCCGAGCCGACATTGCTGCAAGTCATGATTCATGATCGCTTTGCGGACAATGAGCACGGAGAATTCATGACTTGCAGGAGCAGGTCGATGCAGAGATTGCGTCGCTGAAGACCGCTATCTCCGAAGCCACGCAGGCAGACCTTTTGAGTCGGTTGTCATAGGGACACGGAGAGGATCGGAGGGTATGTACGTGATTTGCGGAGTTCTTGAGTTCTGGGTTCTCGTGCATTCATGAGTTCGTACCATGAAATGTGGCCAGTGCAGGCAAGGAGCCAGGCAGATGACGACATTGTGGCTGCTTTGAACCACTACACCAAGGACTGGAAGGTTTCCAAGAAGAGGGGTGTCCCTTGAAGGGGATTCTATTCTACTTGGGGTATAAAGGGGTACCCCTATTTTGGTAAATACCCACTTTCAGATCGGGAAAGCAGTGGAGTCTTGTTGGCAATGCGTGCCTGCTCGGATACAGGAGCTGCAGCAAGCGGTCAGTTCGGTAAGCCGCGCACCAAGTCTGCCTACAGCATGTCCTGTGGCCGACGACAGATGGCTGTACTGGCTATACTTGATACCAGTACTGCAGCAAGCGCTTTGCGCTTCTCATCATGCCATGCCACATATTGTATCCGAGCAGTTGGGTTATACAAGCAGTTGGGTTCCGAGACCTTCAGTGACCTCCATTTTCCAGCCCCCGTTTCCCAAGCTTGATCTTCTTGTTGCATAGGCCCGATAAATTCCTGCACAGCCTTTCTCTTTCTCCCTGATTATCTACATGCACACATATGTGAAACTTTGTAGTATTCCGAAAGATTTGGCATCCTCCAGCTCTGCAAGGCCACGGTGCCTTGCAAGCGGCGATGCGCTCCTGAGCGGCGGTCTCTCCGGGACCTCGAAGACCGGGAGTCCCGCTGAGATGTCGCTCTTGTTCCGAGGTTCCATGCCAGAGGATAAGCACTGAAAAGCACTAGCATCGGTAAGTACTTCTAGGGTGTGTGCCTAATTTGGGTGCTGAGGGGTGGGTGGTGAGGCGACAATGGTGATGAGGGTGGTGCGAGTGGTGGTGGTGGTCGTGGTGGCGGTGTTTGCATGTTGCTCTGCCAATGCATTTGACTGATGGGTGGCAACTCAGAAAACAGCATTGCCTTGCGAACACCCATCACGTCTATCAGTTGCTGGCCGCAGCTATGGTTGAACTGCCTCTCCATGCGAGTCTTCTTGTTCGCCGGTTGCTCATGCTTCCGCCGCAATCTGTTGTGATGGCAACTGGTAATTCTTGGAAATGCTCCACAGCAAACCATCAGATGTATCTGAAGCAACATCACCAGCAGACAGAGAGCTGAAGAACGTCAAGCACGCTAAGCATGGCCAACAAGTGCACCTTTCTGACCCTACAGCTTCTTTGCGGGTTCCAAGAGAGTCCCACACACTTGTCAGTTTCGACGAGCAGTTTCGATGCTGAGCCAGATCATGCAACATCTATCAGCCGCTGATTACTAGAGCCACTGGCAGCTGCTACATGCCTGGCAACTTCTGCGTGCTGCCTGGGGAAGGCTTGGCGTCCCACGCTTTAACCGTGGTTTGCAGTGAGTCCGTTCTCCCGTTTTCCGAACTGCGGTAGCGCAAATGCCCGAAGACCCTACAGCCTAAAGACCCCTTTGAAGCCCGTCGAAGCCTTTCGACCAGTAGGTGACCTCGCCCGATGGCCATCACGCGCCTTCGCCTCAGGTCTCAGTGGGGGGATTAGTATCAAGCGTTTACAGATGGTTTCCCAAAACCCTAAGCCCTAAACCCTGAACGGGGGGGGCTTCAATTCTCAGAGCCTCTTCGGGTTCGGCGTAGGGGTTTGAGAACTCTCTTGAGGACGTGGGGAGTACTAAGAGAGCACGTTGTGGCATTGTACATCATGCATCTGTGGCTCCGCTTTCCAGAGCCTTCCAGGCTCTCACAGTCAAGTTAGAACCACAGAGTCGTCTGGTGCCACCATGTGGCTCCGGTTGACCGGCTCTGTTCTATGCCTGCCGCTGCTGCCGTTGTGCGCCACAGCTTTCCTCCAGGCCGTTGGTGGGAGAGATGGTGAACCTCAGTAAGCCCTTGGCCCCTTAAACTCAGTCCTGAAAAGGGACTATCGTGCCCCCTTTTTGGATGAAACCCCATTAGCCCTGACACGGCTCTGCCTCCAGGGTCCGGTCGCTCGCAGCACTGCGCCACCACGAGCAGCTCCTCGAGCTTCCGTGCTTAGCCCGACAGCCCAAGAGCCTCGCTCGGTGACTGTGCCGGTAGTCCTCGCTTTGGCAGGCAGGGTGCTGCCCCAGTTGCTTCCAGTGCCACTTGCAGATGGTTGTCACGAGGGATTGCCTGAGTGACGTGATGCAAATGCTTTTGTACTTGTCAGGTGCTGCAGCGCTGGCAGGACTGCCGGGCATCACGGTGTGTGCTTGCAGTGTTCATGCTATGCCTGTTGGCTCTCCGCTGCCTTTTCCGCTGTCCCCACGACACATCAGGCGCTGGGGCAGCGCGAGCCCGGAACAGCAAGACAAGCAAGACTGCTCGCCGAGCGAATCTTGTCGCAACGCGCCCCGACCAGGTGCCCTGAGTTGAGCCAGCACATGCCTGTACTGCTTCTCAGTACCCAGCACTGAGTACTCGTAGCCTTGCTTCATCCGCTTCCTGCTAGCGTTGCTACCTAGTTATTACCCCCATGGAGAGGATCTAGGGAGTGAGAAGAGGGGGCTTTCTCCTCTTTGCAGGCCATTCCATGGTGGGACCGGATGTCTAGGCCGACCATCGAGCCCGGCATCGGCATCTGGGCCGAGAAGCTCAACATGACAACTATTTTTGAGGAGGAGGAGGGGAATGTTCGGACCGTGCCCGCCACGATCTTGTGCGTAAAGCGCGGTGGCAACATGATCACCGACAAGAAATGGCCCGAGAAGCATGGCCACTATTCTGTGCAAGTTGGCTACGAGCGGTACACCCCTGACGAGAGCCTCGCCTGCAAGAATCGTGCTGGGCTTAGGATGAGCTTGAGCTCGTGACATCCTGAGCTCTTGCAAGGAAGGAGAAGAATAGCAAGAAGGCGATACAGATTAAGCGCCTGGCGCGCAATGAGTGCCCACCTTTGAGAAAGATCAAGGACTTCCGCATCAGGCGTCGGACGCCTCTAGCTGTACTTTGAAGCTGCTTTTGTTCTGTCAGAAGGCATAGCGCACACTGTGCGCAGAACCGTTTTGCGCGCCTTGGAGGCCCCAAGACTGGGTGAAGTGGGAGGTCGGACAGAAGGTATGGCCATCAGACTTCCTCGAAGAGGGTGACACAGTGGACGTGCACGGTCGCAGGGCTGACATGAAGTGACATGAAGTGACATGTGCATTTCTCTGCCTGTGCACGTGCCTGCACAAGTCGCAAGTCGCAAGCTCGCTCCGTGTTTGCAGCGATTTTTTTAAGGCTGGGCGAAAGGAAAGGGCTTTGCAGGAAGGATCAAGAGATGGGGCGGCAAGCGCGGTCCCATGACGCATGGTTCCAAGCACCACAGGCGTGGCTTTGTTGCTGAGCCTGGCAAAAGATGCCTCCTCTGGTAGCGCACTCGCGACACACGAGCTTGGGCGTTCACGAACTCCAGGACCCGGCAAGCATCTCGAACTCTTACCTTCCCTGATGCAGGAGAGAAGGTTCCATCGGAGCCGCTCGCCCCAAGCGTGTCTTACCTGGCAAGAAAAGGGCCGGCTGGATGGGCGCGGCACTCAGGCGTGTTAAAATCACATGATGATATGACGTGACTCTATGTGACTCTTGCAGCTCTTCAGGTGTCTGCAAGAGCATCGCCCACAACCTCAAGGTGCTGAAGATCATGGATCGCATCGACGAGGACCGGAACAATGGGCCGTTGGCGGGTTTCGGGTGCCTTCAGCTGTCTCTGTGTGTGTGTGTGTTATTATTCTTACTATTATTATGATGATGATTGTGATTATTATGATTATTACTTTGTTTTCCTGTCTTCACATCGTCAGGACAACATGCCCGAGTCCATTATCGTGGTCAAGGGCTCCGTGCCGGGCTACACCGCGCACTGGGAGAGCGGCGGCTCCTACGTCTGGCTGCACAAGTCCAAGAATCGGCATGACGGCCGCTTCAAGCGGGACCCGGTCTGGCTTTGGTACTACCACAAGGGCGAGGACGTGGATCCCTTAGTGCCCATCCAGGACAAGGCCTGGACATGGAAGACCATGTTCGGCCGTGACATTCGCTGGATCACCCACGAAGTCAAGAAGCACTGGCCGGACGGATTCCCTGGGTATGACCACATCATGGATCCTTTCTATGACGACTGCGACCCACACATCGCGCTGAAAGCGCCGGAGTGGTAGAGCCGAGAGCCAAAGGGCAGACGTTGCGTGGAGGAATTGCTAAGTCAAAAGCCGCCGGCGTTGAGAAAAGTCTCTTCTGTTCCCGGAGAGTTGGCTGGTGACGTGGCTATTGTCTGCTCTTGATCATGCTGAGCAATGCTGTTAGCACGGTGGAGTCCCGAGGCCTCGGTCGCGGACTCCTCGGTTGCGGACTCCTGGCTGCAGGCCTTTGGGTGGCTTGGGGGGGAAGCGTCCTTAGGTCAACCGGTCAGCCTTAAACAGCCCGAAGCTTCCCTCAGCTTCCCCCAGCCAGGTGCATCATGGGCTCGGTCTGGAACCTAATCACCGGTCTCGAGTCGCTGCTAAGCTGCTAAGCCCGAAACTTGCCCGAAACCTGCGCTGGAACCCTTCAAGCCCCTGCAGAAAGGTCGAGCCCACCGACGCACCGCCTTCTTTCTGGAGCCAAGCAGCTTCAAGAAGTATATGTACGAGGCCACAGAGGGGACAGCGTCCCACCATTGCCTTTTGCCTGTGTTGACGGGGTCGCATCCATTTCGAGGGTTTGCAGTGTGCAGTCTGAGGCTGTCAGGGACTGAGCCGTGCTTGTGCACTTTCATCTCACCGTAAATCCTATACCCCAAACATCCCCAAACATGCGCAAACCTAAGTCCTAACCCGAAGCATCCCGAAGCCCTAAAGGTGGTACTGTTGGAAGTACAGCCAAGTGTGCACGGCGCAGGCAGACGAAGGTCCCATCAAGCCGCCTGTCATCCCAAAGGGCCCGGTCGTAGACCAAAGTGGCTGGAGCCTTGATTTGCAATCGTACACAAAAAGTACAGTAAATACATAAATATAAATATATATATACATACACTTAAAGGACATACGCATTTTTTGTATAAGTATAGTATATATATATACATATATATATATAATATCTTTCTTTGTGATCTGAAAAGAAGACGCAATTCATGACCGAGCCCCTTCTCAGGCAAGGTTTCTGGGCAGACAACTCTTGAGAAGACCAATGGGCAAACGCCAGAAAGCAAGGCTGCCACCGTCCTGTCGTTGCCGGAACACATCTATCTCTTGACTGATCCTTCTGTCAGGAGCTGGACCGAGTACCTCTCGGTGCAAAGGCACGGCTGCGTGATGCAGCGTGGCACGTCATGTCTTGTCCTTCCCCAGTCCTTGCGCACCATGACAAGCAGCACCCCGCAAAGTGTCCTTGATGTTCATGCTCATGCAGCAGGCACCACCGGGAGAATTTCCTCCACCGAAAGGCCCAGACAGGCTGTGTTTTTTTGCTTCAGGTGACTTTGTCGGCTGGAGTCGTGCCATGAGTTCTGTAGTGTGGGGGAGATTGGGGTAGGTGGACCGATCGTACCATTGAAAATGCTTACTGAACGTGCTGGACAAGACGGGGCAGTTTGGCAGCTATGGGCTGGGGTGCTGCTTGCAGGATACCTCGCAGCGATGGGTTGGCAGCCTCAGATGCCCGCAGGTAAGCTCGCGTGGTCTGTTCAAAGCAGCAGCGTCCTGGATGAACGTGTCGGACAGGGTATGATGCGTCTGAGGCCCGTCGAGCACAAGCTTGACAAGGAAGCTGACAAGGCGTAGTTTAGGTCAGAACGGTTTAGGGTTCGGCGCTTTTCGGTGAGGGTGTGTTGTACCGCGCGGAATCGTCAGGTAGGGCATGTGTGTCGTCGTAAGGGCCTCGGCCAATGCAGGCTGAAAAGGAGGTGGAGGATGAACTGGCTGACATGGAGGATGCGGACGAGAGCGACTTGCAGCTGGACGGAGATGTAGAAGGGCTCAGCATGGCTCAGCCCGTTCACCGTGCGTGTTCCTTTGCAGTTGAGACTGACAAGTGTTGCGTTAGCTCATGCGCAGCCCAGGAAGACCGAGGAAGCGAATATGGTGGAGGACGATGGAGGCAGCTGACGGGTTTAGCGAAGCTGCTGAGGAAGATGCGCAGAGATGTGCACAGAGATGTGCGCTTCGTGTCCGAGCCGACGCACCTTGGAGCTTCTGCCGAGTGCTGGCTGCTGAGCTGGCACGTGTGCCTCGAAATATCGCAGAAAACTCGCAGTGGCACAAAATCGGGCAGTCCTCTTGCCGTTACTTCTCGCCACGGATCTTTTCCCACTTGATGTCAAGGTGGTGTGTGCCGGGAGATTCTACGGGGCTGTGGTGCCTGAGTGCGTGGTGAACACTGAAGCCGTTGCGGCTGGTTAGGAAGTCAGATAAAACGAATCCGTTGTCAATGGGCAGCAGATGTCAGCGTAGCTTGACAGCACAGCAGAGCAGACAGGGGACAAGACTGGACAAAAACTGCATCGGGTGCCGTGCTTGGGAGCTTGGGCCATGCCAGACTTGTCGGAGACCTTGCTGCAGAGACTGAAGGCAGGCAGCATACGCGCAGGGTTAGATCAGACCATATCAGACCCAACTGTGATCCGAGCCTCCCTTGGAGGAGCTGTCCTTAGAAGATCCCGCAGCTGGCTATCGAGCTCTTCACGCAAAGCTGAAGCAGGAGGAAAGCTTCAAAGACGTGAGCCTCAAGAAGGCAGTGATGGTCGGGAAAGCTAGCAGCTAGGGTTGAGTTCAGGGTCGTGGCAAATGTGAGAACAGCGGTTGACGAGCAGGGAGGGCGGAATCTAGCTGTTCAGGTCTCCAAGTTTTGGGCTCTCCGGGATGGGGATCAAGAAACGGTCAAACAGGAATCAGCAAAACAGGATCAATGATGAGTCAAGCCTTTTAGAAGGAAGACAGGAAGGAAGGAAAGAAGGGAAGACGGAAGGAAGGAAGCAAGTAAAGGAAAGGGAGGGGGAATGAGGGCTTTGGCTTGGCTTTGTTCGCAGCCACCCCCGTTTGACACGTTTGCAACAGTGTCAACACACAGCCTTGTTGGGCTTGCCGAGTCTTTCATTGGATTCTTGGGTTTGCTTGTGAAGTTCTGAAGCGGTGGGTTTGGAAGCATTGTTCGGTTGCTTTGATTTTGCCAAGGCTGAGGTCAACTGGCTTTGGCTTTGTCGGCTTGGGGCTAGCCCCCCCACCCCCCCCCGGCACTGCATCACTGCCAGTACAGCCCTGTTTTTGCGGTTGGTTTGGTTGGTTGGCTGGATTTGGCCAGCTCTAGGCCAACACGCTGCATGTCAAGGTCGGAGGAAACGCTGTGCACAGTACATATTTGGAGCTTTTGAATAGGGAGAAATGCTCCATGTTGCAAATTTGTTGAGCTTACGGACAGGCAGGAATGCTGTAGTTTACAGTATCTGGTTCCCTTGCGAACCAAGACCCTGATCCCACTCGTTTTTGGTTCCCTCACCCGTATCTGGGGTGCACTGAATCTTATAGCAGAGACGCAAACAAGGACAACCGTGACAACCATTTCGAGAAGGGAAGACCGATGCGAGATCAAATCAATCCCCTTAACGCCCTGCAGAAGCAAGCAGCTGTGCACGAGGTTCAAACAGCTATTCAAAAGTTGCGGCATCCTGGATGCGTTCATCGTCTCGTGTGAGAAACTAGTGCTTGCGCAAAGGCTTGAGGTTTTGCACTTTGCGCCGAATGCCTCAGTCGGAGCTGGTAGAGAGGCGCTGCGGTGAAACTCTTCTCAGCCTTGCTCTGCGCCATCTGCATTATTGGAGCTCAGGAGTGAAGTGTCGGCCACACCAGCGTTGTTCAGCGCCTTGCCTAGTATTCACTTACAGTCACTTACATTCGGATGGTACCGACTCTCCGGCCAACCTAGTATCGAGTTCAGGCATGGCTTGGTCCTGGAAATGTCTCTTCCCGACCCGACCCGACTGTCGTAAATTTTCGTGTGTCAGGTGCCTCTGACGATGGCTACTTGTGCGAGTGGTCTGATCTTGGGGCACCTCTGAGAGCCTTTCCGGGCGCCGGGGGTATGCAATGCGTGGAGGTCTGGGTTGAGACGATGAAGTGACGGGGGCGCATCGTGTGCTCGCCCTGCGAGGTCACGCAAGATCTTATCGTCGCCGGCGATAGCTCAGGTGGATTCCCCCAACAGATCACATGGAATTCGTTCACAGGGAGAACCTAACTCATGCCATCGCCTCGTGGAGAGGCCTCATGAGGATGTGGTCACGGGAGTCTGGCGAAGTTGTGCGGGACATCCAGGCCTTCTTTCTCTTTGTGAGAGCACAGAGTCTTGCGCAAGTCTTGCAAGTCTTGCAAGATCCGGTGCATCTTGCAATGTCTGTGCAGGTTGCAAAGGAGCACAAGTACGTGAAAGCGCTGGTGATATCCGGTGACAGCGTTTTCACGGGTGACTACTGCAATTTGGTACAGCAATGGAGCCTTTCCACAGGTCAGCGAGAGGCGCCGAACCGTTCAGGGTGATTCTACTTGTATGTCCTCTGTGACTATCAGAAGAATGCAAGATTAATTGTCTTTTGTCTCTGTCTTCATGTTGTTAACGTCACTTTTTGGCAAGTCTTCTAATGCTACTTAAATGTCATACATTGGGAAGGCCTCGGTGGACTGATAACGCATGCTGTTTGGAAAGACCGGCAGGGAGAAGCGGGAAGTTTTTTGCCAATAGTCTTGACGGAAACCGAAAATTACACAAAATGTGCGGTATAGCCGTTCTGGGAGAGGAAGATATTCACGACAGGGAGGGTTGAAGTCAGGTGAAGAAATAGTGCAGCATGCGGTTGGCCCCTTTCGTTATGACAAGCCTTCGGATTGCTCATCGGAGGAGACGCTGACACAGCCTTCATGCTCCCATCGTTTGCAAGCAATCTGTTGTTCAAATGCGAGCGTGCGTGCAGTACTCGTCACGAAGGGCTTGGTGGGCGTAGCGCCCCCGTGCCAAGGAACCCGCTTTTCACCTGGACCTAACCAAACATGCCCGGATACCCAGCGGATACCCAAAACTTGCCAAGACTTGGTTTAAGCCTACCAGGGGCTTCCCAAGTTATAGCATCGGGTGGTTTAATTGATATTGTTCATTGTTTACTTATGTGCTGTTCGCTAATTTATTCCTGTAAACATCACGCTTTACGGGAAATTTTCTATGTGAATCGTTTCCTATCCCATCATTCTATGTCCTTTCTGTCTCAGCGCATCACGCTATCTTCTCCGTGAACAAGAAGAATGAGTCCGCACTCATGAGCACCGACTTATTCTGCCTTTGCCTGAACCGTTTTTCGGGATTCAGCGAATGACTACCCGAAGTCAAGAAAAGATTGGGCAAGATCCTCTGTCCCCAAGATAAGTTTGCTCATGCGTCAAAGAGCCTTGTTTCTTGGGCTTTTGCACACTGACTCCTGGAGCTCTCGAATCTAGTTTGCGTAAGTCGCTTTTATGCGTTAGGTTCTATAAGGAGTGAGAAATGCAATGCAGTGGCCTTCACGAGCTCCCAAAAAGGATTGCAGAAGGTCCAGAATTACTTGTGAAGCTTTTGCTCGTCAAGATCATGAAGATGTAGCCACCGTTTTTGCGTTTGAATTGACGGTTCTACAGACGGTTTTACGATTGACCATGAACACGGAAAACCAAGTAGCACAGGGCTTTCTTGATATGGGTGCACGGAAGCTATAGTAATTAAATGCAGCACAAAGCATAGTTTGATTTTGATGATTACTGTCCGCGATCTTCTTCCTCAGCTCTCACATCCTGGAGCTCGCTCATCCTAAACCCCTAAACCCTTACCCTAAACCCTAAACCCTAAACCCTAAACCCTAAACCCTAAACCCTAAACCCTAAAGCCTGTAGGATCCAGAGTTCCTCTTACATTACGATGCTAGCTTGGCTCAGCCGCAGGCCGTCTTCACTGGAAATAAGGCGGGCATCGTGTCGCTCGCGGTGTCAGGCGGGGGTTGACATTGACGTCGAACCTTGGGGAGTGGAAGCTGACAGGCTCCCTCTCTGAAGCTGTTGTCTTTCCTCGGCCCCTTGGGCTTAAGGTGACTACATCATCTCTGGTGGAGGGGATGGTGCTGTCCTGCTCTTCGACCGGAGGACGGCTAAGGCCGGACAGGATTGGAGGCTGATGAATTGAGTTTTGCATGTTTTGCGGATGGATGGAAGTGTTTATTGTCTTACTCATGCTAGCAAGTTCCGTCCTGTTTTGGGTGCTTCGGATTTCCATGAGCTCAGCATCAAGCTAGCGGCCCACTTCTCGAGGACATCCATGGGAGGGTTTGGGGTTTCGGGCTTAGGGTGCGGGGTACAACTCTGGAAGGGTTGCCTCACACACGGGATGCAACGCAACCTCGCATCTATGTTAAATCCTAAGGTCCGAATGCAAATTTGTCGCCTCATCGGAGATTGCCGCACATCTGCCTGCACATCGAGTGACATCAACATGTAGGCAGCAACATCGTCTGTCCGGATTTGTGACACACCAGCCCCTTCGCGACTTCGCGAGGCCGCTGATGAAAGCTCTGAGGTGACAGCGGAGCCAGTAACATGTCCGCAGTCACGGAGCGGGTTTAGAGCCTAGCACTTTGAGATGGTGAACTATGGCAAGAGTTCCTGAGCTGAGAGAGAGCGAGAGAGAGTGGCTTTTTGAATATCAAGCTTGAGAGCCCATCTCCTGGAGCTCAACTTGAACATGTGGCCAATTGTTGGGATTCTTTTTTTCCCGGGCCCATGTCGTGTCGCTTTTCCTGCGGCTAAGGTAGCTCTGCTGTACAAGGCTGGCTGCAATCATCTGGACCTGCTTGGCAGTGACCGCATCAAGCCAGCGCCAGTGGTAAGTAATTTGCATCTTTTTTTACTTGTTGCCTCGGCCGGCTTAAGGGGGGAGTGGCTTGTTTCACAAGAAGCCTGCGCAGTTTCCAGCTTGCAAGAGATGACAGTATGCGGACTAGAGCCACTTGAATGACCGCTTATATTCACAGCAGATTACGGCAGATCGGGTCGCAATTGTGAGCTGGGGCTTTTGATCTCTTTCGCGCCATGACTCATGTGCCGGAGCTGACGGGCGTCTGCGCCATCCGGGTCCTGTCCGCCCTCACCGGTGAGTTGATCCTGGAGGCCCGTGTGGATGAGGCCGACCTAGTGTCCACCCCGAACTTTCGTGACGATCTTCGTGGGTACATCCAGGCCCAGACCGGCATCCCTTCCTTCAGACAGCAGCTGCTCCTAGAGGACAAGATCATTCCAGAAGCGTGTTCATGGGAAAGCCTTGGCCGACCGCAAGAGATCAGGGTGACTTTCCAGCAGACCATAGAAGATTTCAGTGACGAGCTCTTGGGAGCCGCCGAGATGGGATACACCAAGAAGGTCCAAGACGTGCTGGAACGGTTTCAAAATCCTGATTGCATCGATAGAGACGATGTAGGAGAATCTGCAGTCTTCAAGGCAAGCAAACGGGGTCACTTGGAAGTTTTGGAACTGCTTCTGAGGGCGAAAGCGAACGTGAACCTTGCTGCAAAGGATGGGAAGACTCCGCTCCTCGTCGCGGCAGAGATGGGCCAGCTCAGCGTGGTTCGCAGGCTTATAGAGGCATCAAATGATGGGGCTGATGACCTGGACAAAGCAACGTTTCGTGGCCACACCCCTTTGATCATGGCCATTTTGAACGGCCACTTGGATATCATTCATTACTTGATCGAGGCTCGTGCTGACAAAGAAAAGGCCTTCAGACACGACGATTCTCCGCTCCTCCTTGCAGTCGACGGTGCGCCGGTCGGAGGGCGCCAGGAGGTGATTCGTTGCCTGCTCGATGCGGGGGCGAACATGGAGAGCATGAACTCTCGAGGGATGTTCCCCCTGCTGATGGCAGCGCACGAGGGGCAATTCGACACCGTCTGCCAGTTGCTGGAAGCCAGGGCCAACGTGAATCATACGGGGTCGGATGGGCTGACGGCCGTGCTAGCTGCAGTAGCTGAGGGTCATGTTGACATCCTGAAGCGTCTGCTGAAAGCCCGTGCCAATCCATGCACGCCTTTGAAGAATGGCAGCACACCATGGTCAATTGCCACCTCCATGAGCTATGACCGTCGCCACCGCGAGATCGAAGCTTGTGACAATCGTCACGCTGAGATCATCCAGTGCTTGCGGAATGCTGGAGCGGAAAAGAGTGGTGTGACAGCTGGTCGAGGTAAGTAGAGGGTCTTTCCGGAGTAGAGGCGTTCCGTTCCGCCGCTCATGCAGGCAAGCGGCTTCGTCTGCAGCCTTGCGATCACTGACGATCGGCTGCTGCTTCCAGACCGAGATCAGGACAAGGCCCCGGGATGCTGAGTCATAAGGATCCCTACCAAGAAGCCAGGCAGTGACCAACTTCTCCGAATCCCGCCCTTGTGCAGGCTGTGAGCATTCGCTTCTTAACTCACACAGGGGAACTGGTCCCGGAGAATATCCGAGACAAGAGGCTGCGCCTTCGAGACTGCAACGTTAATGTCTTCACTTCCATGCAGCTTGAATGTTTCTGGCACTTCGCCTCCTGGCAGGTCCTACAAGTGTGGAATGCAGGTTTGGCAAGCAGTGGCTGCTGCGGGCTGTGTCTATGCCCTGTGCCGTGACTTCACAGTACCTCGGCGAAGGTCAGGTGAGTTTTCCAAGAGCAGTCTTCGTCTTGGGCGACTCCTTTCGGTTGTGCTTCTTGCTCGTGACCTGTTTGTGGCTTGTGTGTGTGTGTCCTATCTGTGACCAGATGCCACCCCACTTCCCCCTGAGTCCCATCCCACCCCCTTCCAAATATCAGGTCAAGAAGTTTGCTGCTGGATCCCGCCAACTTCTGCAGACGATCAACGTCAAGGCTGTCGCGCAGGAGGCCAAGAACCCCTACACTCTCAAGGTGAGCCAGGATCGGTGCCTCGGTCTCGAAGGACACTTTGTGTTTGTAGGGGCGAACAGCGCGCAAACTGCAGAGACTGAAGCCATCGTGGCTTCGAAACGTGCGGCCAAGGATCTATGTCAGCTACATCTCATCTGGCAGCTCTCCTGCACTTGGAGAGAAGGAGGTAGCACGGAATATTGGTAGGTGTTGACATACTCAAATACAAAAAGAGATTTAGGAAGTTACCTGCGGCAAACTTGACAGCATGGGCCACAGGGCAAGAGGAGTAGTGAACACAAGGCTGCATGTGCCCTGAGTTGAGCTTCACCACTGCATGGTTGGTGTGAGCTTTGTGCACGCTTGCAGACGCAAAGCGCTCAGCAGCCGAAGGCGAGATTGGCGTGTTCTCGACGGAAGGGGGCCGCAGGCAAATGGAGAAGGCCTTTAAGGGGCACCAAGGCGGGTGGTTGACTCGAGTTGCCCTACTCCCTCACATCAGCTGAAGTCGCCCAAGCAGTTCTTGAGTAGTTGCCGTTGTGCATTCGTACCTGGTTTCTCTCGGAACAGCCCAAGCGACTGCCCGAGTCTCGCGCCGGAGGAACTATCAACAGCCTCTGCCTTGTCTGAGAAGCCGGAGCTGTCAACAGCAACGAGCTGAGTCACAGCCTTTCCTGTGAGGACCTGTGATTCTCTAGACTGGCACCAGCACCGGCTTTGGTAGTGGCAATATGCAGGTAGGGGAACGCCTCGGGTCTCCCAAGGAGCCCCCGAGACTGCCCAGCTGCGCAGCGGGCAGAAAGTTTTCCAAGTTGTGTGCATCTCGCGCGCGCAGCCCGAAAACAGCGGAAAAGAACGGGCTGCGTGAGTGTCGCCCCATCTCTGTGGTAGTTGCTGCTACTACCAACATCGAAAGTCGAAGTAGAGAAGCCGTCCTGACCGGCTTTGTCAGAGGCATGATAACGGGATGCAGTAGGTCTGCTTGCACCCTATGGCATTTGTGGAATTCCTCTCCGTCAACCACCTGCAGCTTCTGGCCAAAGTTGCCTCCCCTAAGAACGTGTGGACGCACGTTCCCACTCAAGACTCTCGCCATCTCTCACCTCCCGCTTTCCGAACAGCATCGACTCCGAGCACCATGGTATTCACGCTGTAAGACTCACTTCATGAAACCGAATGAAGGGTGAGCAGCTACACTTCCATGGACATATCGCTGCTGGAGCGCGCAGCAGCTGTTGGCAGCACAGAGGCCACTCTTCACCATGGGGGGGGGGGGGTTGGGGTAGTGGCGGCCTGATGACGCAGAAGCTCGTGCTCCAGGCCCAGTATGCCCTCGGCGCAGCCCTGCTCACAGGTTCCGACGGTGAGAAGGAGCCCCTTCAGCAGCTCTGGGGCTTCGTTCCTTGTTCTGGGAGTTGGCATGTCGCGCAGGCTGCAAGGGCAGTGTGCTCCACTGCCACTCTTAACCCTGTCCTGTGCTTGGTCAATGTGTTGGCTGTTGCCACTGCTGCCCGAAGGACTTGCCCCGAGCAGCGAGCCTCTTCCGTGCGGCTGCTTTGCAGGGCCAGGCAGCTGCGCAGTGCAACCTCGGAGCCATGTGTGCGCAGGCCGGGGTGGCGACTGTAGAGTTCGCAGACAGGGAAAGTTGAGACACTGGCGGTTCTGGTGCAGCTTGTAAGACTTCCACAGACAAATCTCAAGATCCCTGCTCTCAGGGCCTCGGCGTGCCGCAGGATACAGCGGAAGCCAAGATCTGGTACGAACTTGGGCGGCGATCGCTTGGGGTTCTCCTCTAAACTCCCCTACAGCAGAGTGAGGTCCCATGAGGTGTGCCCTGTCTCCGAGGAGAAGTCTGCTGCACAGGGAAACCCGGATGCCCAGTTCAATCTGGCCATGGTTCTGCTGACAGGTTGGTATCGTGGGACCTGTCATGCACAGAGCGGGTGGCAACTTGATGGAACACATTTCTCCTTTTCCCCATGTTTCCCCAATAATATCCGTGTGCCCTTCCGAAGGGCCTGCGGCTGACCTGTCCCGTGCCCGCTGCTTGGCATCGGAGGCGGCTGCTGGTGGCCACCCGAAGGCACGAGATGGCGCGCAGGGCTTCTTGCATCTTCTGTCAGTCCGAATATAATGTAAAACATAACTCTAAATAGATATAAATAGAGATATAAGCAGTATATACATATAAATCAATAAGTAAATATAAATAAAGAATATATATTATATATATAAATAAATATACATAAATAAATGTATTGAAATAAATAAATATAATATATATATATATGAGGATACATATATATATATATATACACATACGTAATCCTACGCCCAAAGCCCTGAACCCTAAAGCCCAAATCCCGAGCCCGTACAACCCTAAGCCCTACATCTTACAGGCCCAATGAGGGAAGCACAGCTCGCCTTCCTTCAGTGAACGCCAGGCCGGTGCCTTGCTTGAGAAGCTCGGCGCGCTCCCAGAAGAGGTGAAGGACAGCTTCAAGACGCAGGTTGCCCCGGTGGGGTTTAGGGTTTAGGGTTAAGGGATTGGGGGTTTAGGTTTTGGGGTTTACATAAGCCTTGGGTCCGTCTCATGTGTCAATGACTCTGAGAAAAACAAGCGGTGCATTTTCTGGTCTTACGATCCTAGCTGCTACTGCAATGACATGCTTCCCTGTGCTTAAGGGAGCGCTAGATGTTTTAACGGCCACGTGCAGGGCACGCCAGCGGATCCGACGGCAAAGCGGTTGACGGCGGCGCTGCTGGAAACCAGGACGCTGCTGCAGGCATGGGCTGAATGCGGGAAGCCCCCCAGACTCCCTAAAGCCCCATCAGACCCTATGGGCCGTGTAGACCCGATCGTCTCCACCTCTTGCCTCTTAACTCTAGAAGTTCTTTCAGGTCCCTTTCAGCCCTCTGGGCCCCTAAATGTCTGAGTTCTGCACCTTCTACACATTCAGGGCCTGGCCTTGGGCGAGCCGCGTGCCGAAGCCTTCGTGCAGGATCTCCTGTGCCAGCTGGAGGCCGGTCCCGTCCGGACCACAACGCCATGATAAGAGTAGTGTAGGGATATCACGGCATATTATCACGGCACATGGCCTTCGCAACGATCACTTCATTCGAGCAGTGTTCGTTGGCTTGTGGCCAAGCGAAGCTTGGGTAGGGTGGTTGGAGCTGCCAAGTCTCGGGTCCTCGGAGTTAACATCGTCCCATAAAAGCGGCAGGTGCCCAAGAGCCAAATTTTCCCCAGGCTGGGCCCCCACCGGCATCGATGGCATCGATTGGTCTGTTGGTGTGGTGCGGGGGGGAAGGGGAAGGGTTGGGAAAGACCGGATCCTGGTCTGCGTGTTCCAAACGCGTGTCGGCCGGAGGCCAGGCTTATAGTAAGACCATCAACTGTGCCGTGCCGTGGTGCAGGAACTGCAAGATGACCTACAACGCTTCAAGGACTAAGTGCTTGCTGCTGGTGAACCTGCACTTGTGGCGTAGGCGTTGCTGCATGTGTTTCCTTGTGTTTCATGAGGATGGCCAAGAGCAGCCTGCCAAGAGCCGGTTCCGAGACGCGGAAATCGTAGATTGAAAAGGGAGCCACGAAGCTATGCCTGTCGTCGTAGGGAGCAAGCAGCAGAAGAATCCATGACCATTGTCGACCGACAGATCCAGAAGTTCAGTAGCAGTGTTGCCTGCGGTTGAACGGGATTGACGAGCCTTACCTCATTTTTGCCTCATTGGTCAGATGTCAGCGCAGGCGCCCGTGCTGACACAGAAATCCGCACTCCGCTGTCTCTGTCTCTGTCTCTGTTTCTGTCTCTGTCTCTGTCTCTGCCTCTGTCTCTGTCTCTGTCTCTCTGTCTCTCTGTCTCTCTGTCTCTCTGTCTCTCTGTCTCTCTGTCTCTCTGTCTCTCCGTCTCTCCGTCTCTCTCCGTCTCTCTCCGTCTCTCTCCGTCTCTCTCCGTCTCTTTCCGTCTCTCTCCGTCTCTCTCCGTCTCTTTCCGTCTCTCTCCGTCTCTCTCCGTCTCTCTCCGTCTCTCTCTGTCTCTCTCCGTCCGGATGTTTGGAGTGCCTGCTTTGCGCCATTTACTTTGTTCTTTTGTGGCACAGCATTATCGAGACGGCGCTGAATACTCACGCCCAAGATTGGTCAGCTCTGAAGCTGCGCTATTCGACGCGAGTAGGACCTCCACACACAGCTGTGGCCTGGATCGCAGCCGAAGTTTTAAGCTTGTGATGCTTCTGTTGGGTTCTGGTCAGTCCTGGAGCTGAAAGATCCCCTTGGAAGGCGGGACGCGAAGGCTTGCACCAACTGCGCATAGCACATGGGGTTGCGGCAAGCTCCATCTGATCACTCTTTGCACTCTTTGCCGATTCGTCTCAAGCCGGACAAGTTTAAATGTAGCAAACGTAGCAATTTTGGAGCCAGTGTCCGCGGTTGGCAATGCTTTCCCGCCTGATGCTCTGCTTGGCTTGGGCTGGCATCTTTGCCAGCGCGCCTTGGCAGCAGCGAAGCAAAGCTGACGCAGAAAGTCTGATCTTGAGGGATTGACTGTGGCTTTGAGGTTGCGCAGGGCTACAAGTTAGCAGAGCTGCCCCTCAACGCCTTCGGGCCCAACAAGTCGGAGGCAGAACAGAATATCAGCGACCTGCTGACCGAAACGATCGTGCACGACATCAAGGACGTTAAACTCCTAAACCCTGCGTAAGCCCGGCAACTGTAGTTCCACCGGCACGCCCCAAAAAACTGGGAGGACCTGGGAGACTTGCCGAATGTTGGGGACGAAGCCAAGAGTGAGGGCGAGGACAAGGACGAAGGTCCGGGTGGGCTGGGGAAGAGCTTGGAATTCCTGATGCTCAAAGTCGCCCAGCTCGAGACCCTCGCTGAGTTGCAGCAGACAGAGATTGGAATCCAGGCTGAGAAGATTGAGAAATTAGAGAAGCACCTTGGCATGGAGCCTTCCGACAGCGGCGCCTCCATGGCGCAGAAGACCTCCGAGAAGAGCATGCAGCTGGTCCAGGCCACCTTGAAGCGGGTGGTGGAGAAGCATGCGCGCCAGCGAGACACACGGCAGTACCATCCGGCTGCCCACCGCCAGCAGCCCGAGGCTGAAGGGGAGGTCGAGTCGGAGGAGTCCGAGGAGCTGGAGGAAGACCCAGGAAGAGAAGGACCGGCCATGCTCCAGAGCCGCGCAAAGGGCTTTCCGGGGGTGTTCAAAAAAGCTTGGGACGAAACTGGTGGAAAAGCAGTGGATGGGTTGAAGAGGCGGGGGGCTGCTGAAGAGAGCGAATTGAATCCTGAACCCCTAAACCCTGCACCCCGAGTCACTAGTTCTCCCCCTGCAAGCCCTCCCTGAACCCTGAACCTCAAGTGGCCCTCTGCCTGCCCCTCAGCTTTCAAGTCTGGATGACCCCCGAACCCCAACATCTGTTTTCATACTGTATCCCGTCTCCAGCCCCAAAAGCCGTAGTGGACTGCCCAGTACCGCCGGCAAGTTGCGGGAGGGCTATGAGCACGCCAAGAAGGCTGGCAACATGGTGAAGTACTGGGCAGAGAACGCCATCGACACTGTGGAGCTGGCTATTGAGTTCCTGAAACAAGGCCAGGGTGCATGTTCGCTCTTGCTTCAGATGGAAGATGTTCAATACTTGTTGGCATCTTGGCATCTTGGCTTTGGGTCTTGCGTGGGCATGTGTGTATTGCGCCTGGAAGGATCGCGGCAGGCGGGAGCTAAGTCAGCAGTGCGGCGTAGCCTTGTCGTGGATACTTGAGGGTTAATTATCGAGAGAACAGCCAACCTATAGGCATCCGTGTGTGTATGGAGGGGGGGGGGGGGGGGGCGTTGCTGGGAGTATTGCAGGCTTCGGCGACTGGAGAGCGTGGTGCCCTTCAACCTTTGATCCTGGCTTCAGCCGCTCTGGCAGCCAGCTCACGTTCACCATTGGGCGGCAGTGGTGCAGGGTGAGCCTCATGGGCAAGGACATCGACCTCTTTGACATCGATTTGGGCAGCGTCAACATAAACCTCGACATCATGAACATGTTGCCCACAGTGATCCGCACCCCGCTCAACACGATGATAAACCTCGGAAAAGGCCTTGTGAGTTGTGCCAATTCGGGCTCCGCGAGTGGTCTCTTTCCGTGCCTCGGCAACCAGATCATCGAGACGGTGCCCCCCCTCAAAGCGATGGTCAACCTCGGAAAGGGCCTGGTGGGTTGTGTCGATTCAGACTCCCCGGGTGGTCTTGTAACATGCCTCGGCAGCCAGATCATTGCGACGGTGCCCCCACTCAACTACCTGACCAAGATGGGGGACATCCTCACCGAAATCATCGAGTTCTTTGCCAAGGTGGCTTCGACTGTGGTTCAGAAAGCCATGGAGCACGGCCCGTCCTTGGTGCAGACGGCGGCTACAGCCAAGTTCCCTGGTGCCAACGAGCCTCCCATCCTGCACCACAAAAGCACCAACCTCGCTATCGAGGTGCACACAGGGCACGCGCCGCCTGGCAGCTACCTTCACCGAGAGTTGGCCGCCGTGCAGACGAATGCGACTCATGCGACTCGAGATGGGCAGACCGGAGGTGACGACCCAGATGGTGCCATCACTTACAACATCGGCAGTGGGGGTGACGTTCATGCCACGCAGCTGTTCACCCAGTTCGACGGCAGGGAGACGGACACCAGCTCCTGCCTGGCCTTCGCTCCCAAGAACCGCAGAGGCCAGGGCATCAGCAAATTCGACTGGCAAGTTTACAACAAGGACGACTTTCTCCAGCTGGAGCCGTGGGCCGTGCCCTGCGACAATGCATGGATGAAGGACAACGTCAACAAATGGCAGGGTTACTCCTTCTACTTCGGGCAGAAGGCCGTTGAGAAGTGTGTGACGGTGACCTTCAGCATGGGCATGCAGCCTGTCGTAGCCTTTGTGGGCGGCTTGCAGTTCGAGGTCTTGCCGAAGCCCCTCTTCGAGCTGGCCACGACCGTGTGCTGGCCCAACAAGCAGCCAGGGGGTGTGGACTTGAGCGTGCTCCGCTCCGAGATCAAGTCTGCCGGCATCTTGCTCTTCAGCCGCACTCTGCGTCTGTCCAAGCGCTTCGGCCACAACACGGATTTCTCTTCTGGGAACATCAAGGATTCCTATGAGACCTGGAAGAGCCCGGCAGGCATCGCTAAAGGCGAGAGCCGGGCACCCATGGACACTCTGAGGCGCACGTCGTTCCTTCAGGGCAACCAAACCCACCAGAGCCAGGAGAACGAAGCGACAGAGACAGCAAAGGCTAAGGCCGAGATGGCGGAGGAGGGATTGCAGTGGAAGGCGGAGACCGAAGACCTCTACCTGGCGTCCGTCGACTACGGTGAGCACATGAACACATCCGTGGAGAAGACCTTCGAGGCCTATGGCGAGGAGGCGGCCAGGCGCATGGGTGCGAGCTCTGGGTCTGATGACTTCAAGTTTTTCCGCTTCAAGAGTCCCGGCATGGTGAGCTTCGAGATCGAAGGCTTGATGTCTGGCAACACGCTTCAGCTTGGCATGGAGATGGGTTTTGGCCCTTACCAGAGTCCCCCGAAAATGATCCCGCTGGTCGACATCGGGGCGCAGTTTGCTCTTATCCTGGCCGGCTTGCCTTTCGTGTCAGCCCGCAGCAAGCTGACGGCCATTGAGGCGCTCAAGGACTTCTCCATGAAGGACATGGGAAGGGCTCACGGCCTCCCCGTGAGGCCGGACTCTGTCGTTGCGCTCTACAACCCGCACAGTGGCCGTTACCTGAAGATGTCTACAAACAAGCTGGAACCTAGTCCTCCGATGGAGAAGTGGGGGATCCCCGATTCTTGGGGGTTAGAGCGATTTACCGTGGTGGATGCCAAGAAAGGTCAGATCGCATTGCACAGCAGTGCCCACAACCGCTTCGTAGGCACCGGAACCGTGAGCCCGTCTCGGAATGTCAACGACCTTCCGGGTGACTGGGCCTCCGAGCGCTTCACTGTCAGGGATGAAGGCCACGGGGAGGTCACCCTGTACAACAAGCACCACAGCAAATGCTTGAAATTGTGGGCCAGCGGTGTGGGAAGCTCCAGCACCTGTGGAGAGTCCTCCCGTTTCGTCCTCGTGCCAGCGGAGCGGATCCTGACGCCAGGGACCATGATCGCCTTGCATAGCTTGAAGGACAACCGCTTCCTCAAGATTGACGGGGAACGCCTGACTCACAGTCCCACGAAGGATGCGGTGGACCTCCCTAGCGATTGGGTCTCGGAGCGCTTTAGCGTAGTGGATGCAGGACATGGACGTATCGCGCTGCACAATGCGGTACACAATCGCTTCGTGGGAAGGAACAAGGCCAGCCCTCACAGGCTTCCGGACCAACTTCCCGGCGATTGGCACAGCGAGCAGTTCGACGTCTTCCCTGCTGGCAACGGAGAGATCACGTTGCGCAACCGAGCTAATTGGAACACAGAGCGCCTCCGGGTGGTGCACGTGAAGCCGTACCTGGAGCCTGGCAGCACAGTGGCCCTCTGGTGCAAGGCTCACGGCCGCTATGTGAAGATGGGCTCCGGCAACCCAAGCTCATTCCTGTTGGCCAGAGAAAACCACACCGGGAATGAGACCTGGCCTACACCAATGCTCAATCGATTTCGAAACGCATTGAAAACTGCAAGCAGACAGATGAAACATGCCGGAGAGCAAGTGGTGGCCAAGATTTCGGGCGGCCGCATCTTCCGCAGCCCAGAGCGGGGCAGCAGTGGCATCCCAGACGACTGGGTTTCGGAGCGCTTCACTGTCGTGGATGCTGGCAACGGTCAGGTGGCTTTTCACAACAGCAAGTACAACAGGTTCCTGAAGATGACGCACGATGGAAAGATGCAAGTCAGCCCTCACCTAAATGTTGATGCCTTGCCCAGCAACTGGGCTTCTGAGCGCTACACAGTGGTACCTGCTGGAGGTGGCCAGTTTGCGTTCCACAACTCAGCCCACAACCGTATCATTCGCATGTCGGGCTCCGAGGTGGACGCAAGCCCGCATAGGAGCCCTCAGGATTTGCCGGCAACTTGGCTTTGGGAGCGCTTCCAGGTCGTGCCAGTAAAGCCCTATGCACCGCCGGGAGCCATCGTCGCCCTGCGCTGTGACAGGCACGGAAGCTACCTGGCCATGACAGGGACATCGCTTTCTCGCAGCTCACGCACCGGTGCAGACGCCATCTTCACAGTGGTGGCTGCTGGGAATGGGCAGGTGGCCTTCCACAACAGCCGGCACAAGAGATTCGTGAAGATGAACGGCGCAACCATGGAAGTCAGCCCTGTGAGAGCTGCTGATGATCTTCCGGCAAGCTGGACGTGGGAGCGCTTCACCGTGATACCCGCAGGCTTGGGAGAGTTCGCGCTCCACAACTCAGCCCACAACCGCATCGGCACCACAGAACCTCCCACCCACTTGGAGCTATGAACGCTGGCAGATAGTGGAGTTGTCTGATCCCAGTCCCAGCTCCAGGCTCGTGCCTCCCACCTTCGATTGAGGAGTTAGCGCAGATGATGGCCAGAGCCCAGAGCCTTTTGTGGCCGCTTTCTGGTGGCAGGGTCACAAAGTAACCCGCTTCCAAGACTGTCTAGGTCATGGCTCACGGCAGCTGTCTAAGTTGAACTCACTCCATGTCACTTTGACATACCGCCTCTGAGCTCTAGCCGCGAGATCGCGAGCGAAAAAAGAGCACATGCCACCGGGGAGAAGGCGGGGAGCATGCAGCCAGCAACGGAAAACAACAACAAAGAACCAGGGCTATGCTATGATGAGCATAGAGACACCCATTTGGTTCAGATGTTAGAGTCAACATAGTCTCTCTTTTGCAAAGACCCCTGCATGGTCAAGCCATGCTGGGTCCCTGTGATGCTGAAGCAGTGGGGGCCCTGAGTTGCTCTGAGGGCTGAGGCTTAGAATTGAGTTGTTTTAAGGATTTGATATTGGTGGTTTTAGGGTGCGCTTCAAGGCTTCAGGCTTTGGTTTAGTGCTTTAGGGTTTGAGGATTTCAGGCCTGTGTTTTTGCTCTTTTCCCAGCATGTCTCCGTTTTTTCAAGTATTGTTTTCTTGAGAAGCGAGAATCAGCTGCGGCTGAGGCCGCACACCTCACCTTGGCCTTGGTGTGTTGCTTTACCTGGGACCGGCCTTGTCCTAACTGCATCAGGGCCTTAGGGCCCACGGCTCATCGAATGCCTTCGTAGCCCCAAAGCCTTCATGTTTAGGTAGCTAAGATGATGGCTGGTACTTTTCCTCATGGTGCTGCTGCGGCCGCCATTGCTGTTGCTACAACATTTTCAGAGTCGCTGAAGCTGCGTCAGCTCTGCGTCAGCTCCAGTATGCGCATGCAAGAGCCCCTTTCCCAGGCCGGCAGTGATCTCGAAGTAGCGCAGACTGTCGAGCTTTGGGATGTCAGTGTCCTTGTTTGGATGTAGGGGTTGATGCCAGACATTCTAGCTGCCCGGCACAGCTTGAACAGATCGATTCCCTCGTGCTCTCCATCGAGTCCTCGTACCAGCACGCCGAGGACGGGTCGCCTCAAAGCTTAGGGATAGGTCTTTGCTCAAGGAGTCGGTGGATGCATTCCTTCTTGAAGGAAGGAGAGGGGATGGGGTTGCCTTCCCCCGTCCCCTTCCCGCCCTCCCTTCCACCCCCGCCCCCAGACAACCGCTGGAGAACTCTCGGACAGAAGGTAGGGTTTGACGCCCTGCTCTTCTGATCGCGCAGCCTTGATTTGCCCCAGGCAGAAGAAGCTGGGTTGGACAGCGACAGCGATGAAGAGGCATCAGCGGGGCAGGGACTTTTCGAACCGCCCAAAACAGCGCAAAGCAGCTTCCCTCAGCCCTAATCCCTGGAGGCGCGATTTGCAGCCTCGCAACCTTTGGCCAACACCAAGGCTGCTGCTTCCAGCTTCGGGTTTGAAGGGTTGAGCGTGACCACCGTCATCACACTTCTGCACTCCGTGCCCCTAGAAGTGGGTTTCTTTTGTCCTGCTCGGCCACTCAGACTCCATCACATTCCGTTGCCCGCGTGCTGTCGGCATCCAGCGTTGCTGGATATTGCTAGGTAATTTTGTCTTTGGTGCAGTGTAGTGATCAATTTCTTTCAGTCGGTGCTAGTCAATTTGCTCCTTAGCTCCACGAGATGTCGCCCAGCGCGAGAGAGGGACTTTGAGGCGAGTCTTCGCACTTTGGTTCGTTGTACTGGGTAGCTGCGGGAATTGGGATGCACCCCTCCCTCCTAAACCTCAGGAGTGGTTTGACGATCTTTGCCGGCTCCGTCCCATTCTAAGCCGGGGCGCCAGTTTCAGCTTTGGGGTTTAGGGTGTGGGGGTGGTTAGGGTTACCCTAAACCTGAAGCCGTAAACTCTTATGTCTTATTTGAACACGGCTCTAGCCCTAAGGGATCATAACTCAAAGAAATTCCGACAATTTTCCGACATTTCCATTTTTCACGAAGCTCTCAACCCTCACCCCGAGACACTCTTAAACCACCTCAAAAATCCTGAGTCTCCAAGCAGCCAGGACACTATAAGCCCTAGTCCCCAGCTCTAAACCCCACGAGGGTTAGCGCTGGCGGGATGCTTCAAGAGCCGAGGAGGAAGACTTTTCCCGAATGCTCCGCAGAAGGGTTCCCGTCTTAAAGTTGGGGGTCTGGGGGTTGGGAGGTTACCAAACGTCGTCACTTCCTCTCCTCATCGCTTTCCACGCCATTCTAAGAAACAGCCAAGAAGAGAAGAGAGTCCTCTGTTGGTTTTCTTCCTCATCACTCTTCCCTGAGAGGGAGGAGGGATGGAGACCACCACCTCCTGCTCCTGGACCTTTTTGGACATAGCGGGAACCATCTCCCAGGCGAAGGGGAAACCAAAGCCCAGCCGTCTGGACACCGTGGGGGATGAGGGGACGGGCCCGCCTCTGAAGAGAGGGATGAGAAACAGGGGGAGACCGAGAATGTCCATGACAGCAGCAGTGAGGAGAGCAGCTCAGATACCCCAAGCCTTCGAGCATTCACTCTCATTTTGAAGCCGACTGGAAAGTAGCGTCTCATTTTCATTTTCACCAAAAGCAGGGTGCTGTTTGAACACGCCCCAACAGCAAGGTGCTGTTTGAACACGCTGATTTCCCCAAAAGAAGGGTGCTACTTACTGCTGGGTGAACACGCTAGTTTTCCCAAAAGCAGGGTGCTATTTGAACATGCTGGTTTCCACACAGGTAGGGTGCTGTTTGAACGCGCTGCTTTCCTAAAAAGCAGGGTTCTATTTAAACACACCGGGTTTTCCAACAGCAGGGCTATTTGAACAGGCTGGTTTCCAGGCCGGGTGCTAGTTGAACATGCGGGTTTCCCCATAAGCAGGGTGCTATTTGAGCACGCTGGTTTTCCCCAAATAAATAGGTGCTAGTTGAACATGCTTCTTCACACGTTGGTTTCCCCTCAGGGCCTTGCACGGAGCCTTCGGAGCAGCCGTGGACTCGGAGACTCTCTGAGGGATTCGGCATGTTGGGCCGGTGGGGTTTAGGGTTTTAAGGTGCGGCTTTTGTGCTCAGGGCGCATTCATGTGCATCAAATAAGCTCACCAGCCTTTGCAGGTCTTCACTACTACTTCCAGGCCGGGGGGTTGTTGGGAAATCTGGGCTTGAGAGTACTTGGAGACATCCAATATTGTTTGAAAGTATTACTGATTACAATTTTGGTTAATGATGTTCATAGTTAATGAAGTCAGAATAAGTCTTACTACGTTTTTTCCTTTACTGTTATGCGTATTGTCGCTCTATTTTGAAAAGGTCGCGGCGTTCAACAGCTCCGAGATCGCCTTGGCCCTTGCTTCGAAGATCACGTGCCTGGGCAGGCAGATGTGTTCTTCGTTTTGGCGGGTTTAGGGTTTAGGGTTCAGGGTTTAGGGCTAGTTTAGGGTTCGGGATATTTCACCCTTCCCGAAAGCCCATTCAGTGGTGAACCTTAAATGCCATGAGCCCTAGCGCTCTCCCTAAAAGCCTACCCTTCTTGAGCCTTAAACCGCTTAAAAGGCTGAACCCGCAACCCTAGCGTTAAGGCTAAACCCTAATCTCTAGAAGCCCTAAGCCATGCTAGGTTCAACTTAAAGGTTTACGGGTTTACTGTTAGGGGCTCAGGGCTTCCCAGCAGACATAACACTTGGGTAGGTTTAGGGTTTAGGGGCGCGATCCCTTGAAATCCTACCACCGCCAAGACCGGTTTAGGGTTTAGGGTTAAAGGCCCCTGAGCCGAAGCCGGCCTAGACCCTCAACCTGCTGCTTGCTCAGAACCTTAAGTCCCAAACCGTAAATCCTAAACGTCCCCAAGCCCTTTCTGCAGGCAATGCCCTTACAGACACCTGGGCCCACGGACCCTTTGAGAAAAACTTAAACTTTGACACTCACAGAAAACGCCCCGTCTCCCATGCAGCAGGGTTTGGGGTTTAGAGTTTAGGGGTTAAGGTTTCGGGTTTAGAGTTTCGGGAACTTCCCGACCCAAATGGCTGGGGTGCGACTAGCTGCGGCTATCACACTATGAACCAAGATGGACGCCTCGTGCCCCTTCTGCGCTGTGGCGCACGAACACTCCAGAGAGGATTGACTGAGATACGGTTTGAGAATATGATGAATTCTATGGCTCGCTGCCTGCCAGCACTGAAGATGAAAGAACAGAAAACCAACTCTACGGGAGACGAGAGTCTCCGCTTCCCACGACGTAGAGGATCTCAAACTAAGCCAAACCCTGAGCCATGGAAAGAATCCCAAGCAAGTCGTCCGGCGAAATGGATGCCAAACTGTTGGGTTGCTCAAAGCCAATGGCAAGCCAAGATGCTACCAAAAATGGTGTGCGTCTTGCCGCTGCCCGTCCTGAGTCCGCTGTTTTTGTTGATTTTGCCAAAGCTGAAAGATGCCCAGACTGTAGATGGACTCCTAGCCTGTCATGGCCGTTTTTTGATCAAGGCAAAAGGGGCCCAAGCGTAGCAAGCTTGGACCCTCCAAAATCGGTGAGTTCTTCACTTGTCGATTGCAATGGCTGAGGCGCAGCAGAAATCTTCGTTTGGCAACAAGAAGGAGCACATCAGGCCATCTTCGAGCCTTGCTCGTTGGTGCTGCCTCTTACCGTTGGGTAGCAGTAGATGACGCAATGAGGTACCCCATAACCCCCTATTTCTACCCTTTGAGGGATTATATAAGGTACCTCTTTCCCTCATTCCCTACTAACCAGCAGTAAGCTTGGGCCCTGGACAGGTCCATGTATTCACCGAGGGATCTCTATTCCCATCCACCAAGCATCAACATGGAGATTGGCTGGCACTTGAGTTTCGACTTGAGAAGTTTCTGCCAAGCAAGCCCTGATTGCATGTTGTTTTTGTTTTTTCTGCTGGAGCTCAGCCGACGATTTTGGGAAAGCTGGGGCTGCTTGACTTCTCACATCTACAGGCC